TGGCGTGTCGTCGTAGAAAGAGGAACAATGTCGATACACGTACATGTTCACGTACATCTTTCACCAATAACCACGCCAGCGTGCAAAAGGAGGCACGGACTTGCATGTTGGCCAGTAGAGTTACGACGATATCCCAAACTTACCCGTAAGAAACTTTTGGCAAAGAGGCGGACAGAAGGACCGAGGAAGGTACCAGACCAGAGCATGACAAACGAGCAGACGGTGCCGAAGTTTCAAATGTTGACGCGGCAGAATCAAGAAGAAAGGGAATATCTTGCCACTATGCCGAATCTATATCCAGTTAAAAGCAAATAGGATCCAAAGTATCTATTAATATTTGGCTTGGGATTACTATTCTAAGTAGGTTGCATTCCAAGTCGTCAAAATGCATAAATTGAATACTTACAAATTATAATTATTTCTTGATAAGCGACATGTTATACATGTCGTTAGATTTTTCTTTGTTAATTAAAAAAAGCAGACAACAGTCTCAATAGAAAAAGTTTGTTAGTACTAAACTTTATAATTAATCAATCGATAGATTACCTTTAGATCGCAACTTAAATTAAAAAAATATTACGATAAGGTATGCTATAATTCGATATTATAAGCTTATTGACTATGGCAGCTGTAAATTAAAAGAAATATAGGAATGGCTATTTTAAAAAGAAAAAGGTTGAACTTATCTTCCCCAACTTTTTTATGAGCTTTAGATATATGATGCGGTAACTTAAAATAAGAGGTACATATATTCTGTGTATATTTTATGTGTCCGTTTATAGGTTTAGGAGTTGAAATAGTCCTTCGATGCTAAATCGAGATATTTGATTCTCTGCGAATATCGCCCAAACCATAAAATATATGAAAAAAATATTTCAAACGTTGAAAGTTTTATGAATCTTTCATATTTATACATTTAAATTTAATCGAGAGAATCAAGCATTTTCTCCAAGAAGGAATAGTATGAAATAAATCATAAAAATGAATTTCAATTAATTAAATTCAATATTCATATAAACGTAAGAGAACCTGTCATCATATAAAAAATGAGATGTAATTTCTTTGCAAAAAAAGAAATGTCTCTTCTGCGGGCTGAAAAGTACTATTGGAGGATTCTCTAGAAGCAGAAAGATGTCATCAAATTTTTCTCAATAATAGTTTTCGACGGTAATCTTTTTATTGACTGTTCAACGAAAAGAACCTTTCCTTTCTTGAAACTAGTCATGCGATCGAAGTAACTTTTATTAAAGAAGAATGTAGAAGAATCCAGTATTTATTTGATAAAATAATATCGAGTTTTCTTCGACGAAATTGGATTATAGAAAGGGATCAAGGTTCTGCTCGGGTGAGCTACTAAGATTATCGGCTAGTGCAAGATTTCTATAAGAGAATCAAGCACATGCAGTTTCCGCGAGACGCAATAAAACGTGGTTTTCGCGATAGATAATGCACAAAACATGAGCTTGTAGTTTGAAATGAAAACACGCTCGTGAGTTTGCAAGTTGTACATTTCAAAGTTATCCACTCATTTCTACCGTTATCCTGTTTTGATATTAGCAGAAATGGAGCGTACTCGTACAAAAGTGAATCGCAGAGAATGTTTATGCTTACGCAAACTCCAGATACCAGGTATTAACGTATTAACGTTTTAACGTATTTCGGATACATACATTTGAATTTCGTATTCGCGTTTTATTATTCAGAAATGTGATCTTGCTAGAAAATTAAATATAAAAAAAATGCTTGGACATATCCATATGTAAGCAACAGAATATAAAAGAATAAAATTTATAAATTGTAAATTGAGGATTTTACATAGAGTATATGATAAATATCAAAGTTAAATAATATTTGAAAAATTACGATACGAGATCTTTATTCATGCTTTGTTAAAATTATTTTCAAGAGTTATACATTCGGGTAACACATTAAAGTTAGAACGTCTAAGATAATTTTGTTTTAATGTTGCTATTAAAAGCGTACAATTGCATTCTCTCATTTAAAATAAATTTAACTGCCAGAAGAAATTGTGAGCAATTTTGCTTTAGTATCAAAAATAGTAGTACCATCTTTTTCTTTCTTTTTTAAATTGCTTCTTTATCACGTGATTTCTATATGTCATAAAGAACTTATGTATATCTATTTCTTTATTTTTTTATGACTGGAATTATTTGTATATTCCAGATGTAATTCCAAAACGATATTTATATATCGGTTTTATATATAGGTTTTGCAGACAATTTTTCCAAAAAGGATGCTCTTATTAATTTTGTGAACTTTATATTTTTAATTTATACAATATTTAAACGCTGATTTACTTTCCTTCCGCTACATTACTCTCGAGAATAATATAATGACAACATCAATATTCATAATTGCGTAAAAAATGTAACGCAATTAATTAATATTTTTGCATTTGGATATTTATTTGTGTTATATTTATTTTAATATTTATTTATATAATATTTTAATTTGGTTTATTACGTTACATACATTTTTTTAGTATCCCCCTTTTCCATTGATACATTGAAGGTTTATAATTGAACAAATATGAATTTAAATCTTATCGTTTATAAATGATTTATTAAAAATTGAATACTTCTCAATATTTTGTTGACAGATAACCGATATACGTGACAAACAATTATTAAATATATGAAAGCGTATGTCTCCTTTAACTCTGATATAAATTATCTTTGCATCCAACATGAAAATATTAAAGAATTTATCATAAGTCTAATAAATAAAAACATTTATATAATTTTATTTTTACAATTAAATATCGATAATTGTTACAGTGCATAAAAAGCACAATTTAGATAATAATAAAATCGGGATTGAAAAATATGGACGATAATAATAATAATAATAATAATAATAATAATAATAGCGACAGCCATGAATGTTACAATATAAAATTAAGCACTATGATCTACTATTGTCAAAATGGGAATTTAAAAAAGATATGATATTATTGTGGCAAAATCGGAATAGCAACATATTTTCGTTACGAACCGATTGGTCGGTGGTCCAAAGTCGACTGGCCGCAACCGTACTGTCTCACGAAAAGCAGTCGCGTCCCGACGCTTGCGCCGCAGGTTCCACGACTCCGTCAGACGGCGCCCCGACGCTGGTATCGTCGGACGGAGCGATCGGTCGGGCCAACAGTCAGCCTCCAGTGAGCCAAGCAAGCTCTCTTTCCCTCCCTCACGCTCCCCCGTCACATATACATGCACACGTATACACAGGGTACTACACGTAGGCACACGGACACATAACAAAAACGCAGTTACACACACGTACACATACACACACACACACATACACACATACACACACACACACACACACACACACACACACACACATACACACACACACATATATATGCACACACACACGTATAGCCACGCGCGCACGTACATTCTCTCACTCTCACTCTTTCTCTCTCTCTCTC